GAAAGAGCCACAAAGATCAGGGTTGCCTTTGTCTACAAGTAACGGACATTCTCTTGTGCTTAGGACAGTCTTCTTTGCCTCTGCTTTTCAGCTGACTTCCGTGTCCCCAAGTGCCTGCGCTGAGAGCGCTCTGGAGGGAAATGTGTGTGTCTGCACGCGTACATGTGTCTGGGCTCATGTCTCACACACACACACACACACACACACACACACACACACACGCCTACGGCTGAAGGGGGCGCCGATACGGGTCTGCCCCCAGGCCAGCTGTTGATGTGGTCTCTGTACTTGGGGAGAAGGAAGTCACCGATGGAGAGAAGCGTCCCTCGTCCTCCAGGGGCTTCTGTCTGGTAAAAGTCCCACGCGCACACACAGACACACGCTAGATTCTAAGGGAGAGCAGAAGACGGGGTCCCGGCAGGCTCAGTGGACCTGGGCCAGGGCGGAGGACCCGCGCCCTGGAGCACAGCTGGGCTCAGACGGTGGTGACAGAGAGCAGAGGGTTGTAGACCCGCTTCCCGTCGGCTGAGCGCGCACCGTGGGCCAGCATCTCCTGGATGGTGATCCAGTTGTCCAGGATCTTCCTGCTCCGCTTCTTCATGGTTTTGCGGTGGCTCAGGGCGATGATGTTGAGCTCAGCCTTGCTGTCGCCGCTCTGCTGCTCCCGCAGGCACTCCAGTCGGCTCTGCATCATGAACTCGCGCCGCTTCCGCTGCTCCCGGGCTCGGATCAGGTGCTGCTTCCGCTGCTCCTTGCTCCAGTAGCGGCCCATCTTCATCTCACTCACTGCGTCGTCGTCGGTGGTCATGCCACTGCGCTCCTCCCGGATCTTCAGGGCCCGGGCTTTTAGGAGGCGGTCCCGCACCGGTCGCTTGGCCACATAGCGGGTCCCATCGCTGCGCACCTTGACCTTCCACTCCATGCGGGGCGCATCGGTGGCCGCCGCCGCCACCCCACCCACCCGAGGGCCACCGGCCAAACTCAAGGGGCCGCGGCCCAGCTCTCCCAGACCGCGCGGCGGGGCCAGCTGCATGCAGCTGTGGTAGTGATCGCCCTCCTGGCCCTGGCCGCGGTGGCGCCGCGACAGGTAAGGGCTGCCTTCGGGGCCCACGCGCTCCAGGGTCACCCCCGTCTTGGGGCCGCGGCGGACCCGCTCCCCCGAGTGCTGTCTCCGGCCCACCTCGGGATCCCGGGAGAGGGATCGGAAGTTGGCGGGGCCCCCGTGCGGAGGGGCAGCCTGGGGGTGGGCGGCGACAGGGGGTGCGGGGGGGGTCCGGTTCGGGTTGCAGCTGCCCCCGGCGGTCGCCCGCCTCAGGGGGCTCTCGGGCAGGGGCTCCGCCAGCAGCGGAGTGCTGCGGCAGCTCTCACCCGTGTTGTAGGCGCTGGTGCTGTCCTTGTCCGACTTCTCAGGCAGCTCGGAGATGTCAGACAGCTCATGCTTCTTGGGCTCGCCGGCCCCCGGGTCGTAGAGGCTGTCCTCCTCCAGCAGCCAGGCCTTCATGCAGCGCTCCCGCAGCTGTTGCATCTTCTGCGCCCGCAGGATGTTGCGGCACTTGAACTCCAGGTGCCGCAGCTCCTCCTCCAGCACAGCCATCTCGTGGCCCACGCTCTCGTTGCGGTTGACATCGAGGGCGCCGCTGCCACCGGCGGCCCGGGGAAAGAGGAGGCCCAGGGGGTTGCCATTCTCCAGGTGGCACTTGATCTCCAGCAGCTCGCGGTAGCGCTCGTACTCCTCATCCGTGAGGCCCGGCACGTCGCCGCCACCCAGCCCTGCACCCTCGGCCAGCAGGGAGTCCATGCTGAAGTGGAAATCGCGGCTCTGCAGGGCGTCCCCTTGCAGGCCAAACTTGCGCAGGGGCCCGGGCGTGTTGGCGGTACTCAGGGGCTCGTCCCCCAGCAGGTCGTGCTCGGAGCTCTCCTCGTTGCGCGTGCTCTCATCCGTCCGGCCCACCCCGCTGTCCAGCTCCTGGCTGTTGCTCAAGCCTGGGCCCGCATCAGGGGCCCCTTTCTCCTCTTCGTTTCCAAGCTGGAGCTGGAAGATGAGCCCCGCTCAGTCTGGGACCCGCCAGTGGGGGCGCCGTGGGGGGGAGGATGGAGATCGGAAGGGCTTTCGGGTCTGGTGCATCTCCCGCAGGCCCCCAAGCCTCTACTCCGTCTGACGTCCTGCCCGCCCTCCCCGCCCTCCCCCGCACGGCCTTTCCTCCTTCCTCACCTGCTGGGCAGGGGGGGATTTCAGCTTCCGTGCCCGCAGGTCCCCCTCATTCTCAGAGCCAAAATCATCCAGGAAGTCATCCCGGTCACTGTCCTTCCACCGCTTTGCCAGCTGCAGAGACAGGCCCATGCTGTCCCCACTGCCTTAAGGACCTCCGCAGACAATGACCCCACTCGCATCTAGGTCCCAGCCCACTCAGCCATCAGAGGCCACAAAGGGAAATGGGCCCCGGACCCCCCCCCCCCACCCTCCATCAGTGCCAGGTTGTTGGCATGTTTGTGCCCTAGTCGGCAGCTTTCAAGACAGAAAGCCCCACGTCAGGGGACCCAGGACGCCCTGTTGGGCACACACACCTGGCTCTCAGGCCGGGCCAGCAGCAGGGAGATGTTGGTATTCTCCTCCTGGCTCAGGATGGCCACTGCTTCTTCCCGGTTCTGGACGTCCACACCATTTATCTGTGGCAGGCCAAGGGACAATCAACGAGGACACCAGGGCTGGCTCTGGGGCAGGCTCCAGTTGAGCTACAGGGGTCCCCTCGCAGGGAGCTCCAAAGCGAGCACCCTGGGCCAGGACAGGCTCTCGAGCTCTGGCAGGATGGAGACAAGTGGAAGGTGCCGGGGGCGAAGACAGCCTGGCCCACACGAGAGCACACGTGCTTGGAGCGGCGAGGAGCAGGACGCACGCTCACGTCTGGGGCACAGAGGGACAGGCTGGTAAGGGGCCCGAGCAGAGACGCCAGCAGAGCCCACGGGCACATGGGAGCCACCGCGTAGTTGTGCAGGAGGGAGATGAGTCCTAGCCCTGGTTTTAGGCCCGGCGGGATGCCCGGCATCAGGCTGGGCTCTGAGCAGGAGAGAGCTAGAATTGGCTAAGGAGAGCTGGCGAGGCCTGCCTGCCCTGCTCACCTGGATGATGCGGTCTCCCTCGCGGATGCGGCCGTCTTTGGCTGCGATGCTGTTGGGATTCACCTGCAAGGCACGCGCATCATGGGGACTCGGCCCCCTCCCTAAGGTGCCCGTCTGGTAGGAAGGGGCAGCCTCGCCTCAGAGGCCCCAATGTGAACGGAGCGCTGATTTTTTGAGCATATGGCAAAGTACCCAGCACCTGCCAGACGGGTGGCAGAGAAGAACCCCTGTGATTACCGGCCGGGCTCCTGAAGGATGCGGGGGGAGAACACAGCCTGACGGGACCACATTCTGCCTTACCCCGCAAGGCCCCATCGTTCCACTATGGACACAGGTCTCCTGGGGAGGACTGCCTGGCTGGACACACGCCGAAGCCACTGGCTGCCTCCCTGTGACGCTAAGCTGCCTCCTTATGGGCAGGCTCAGAGCCCTGGGCAGCGCGGCAAGGCTGTGGGGATAGGATGGCATGGGAGTCTTCATGTGCCACGCCCTGCCTCAGCACCTGCCACCGTGCTCCCTCATAGGTGCCGTAAAGATGGGCATCCAAGTCCAGCTGTCATGTCCCAGCACACAGGAAGGCACATGGAGCTCCACTGCCTTCTAGAAGATCCCAGCCCCCCGTCCCGCCTTCATACCTCTCCAACGTAGATGCCCAGGTCCTCCTCGTCATCCGTGCGGTAGCAGACCATCAGGCCCAGCTTGTCCCGGTGGCTGGTTTTATACAGCTCCACCTCCTGCCACAAGGGGGATGGACAAGCAGAGGGAGAAGCTGCAGGGACGACAGCCTCGGCCCAGCCTAACCCCCCTGCGTCACCTGAGCTGAGTTTCCAATAGGTCTCTCTTACCATCCCAAATGGCACGTGTGTCCCGTGGTGTCCCTTACCAGGAAATGCCCAAGACACACACAAGACACACAGGACGCACAGCATACAGACATGCGTGGGGCACAGACTCACCAGCACACACTGACAGAGGGACCTCACCCGTGCCCTCCCCAACTCAGCCCAATTTGGCCCTTGAGCCCTTCAGCCACGCGTGGGAAAGGGCCACGAGGCCCAGCCGCCTGGGGGTTCGGGAGCCAGGCCTGAGCTGGGCCACAGACAGACGCCCTGGGGCCGGCGCCCAAGGCTGGCCACCAGCTCACCTCATACTCCAGCTCTTCCATATGGTCTGCCTCCTGCGGGCTGCCCTCCATGAACTCCGCCGGGTCATAATACTCATGGCTGATGGGGGGGCTGCCCAGGAGAAGCGGGGCGTCAGGCCAGCCATCTGCTCCCCTCTCTCCCTAGCCCCGGCTCCCAGCTGGCGGGTCCCAGTGCGCTCGGCATGGAGCCCCGCTCGGGGTGCAACCTTGGGAGGCGGCGGCCCAGCTACCTCTTCTGTACCCCCTCCTTTTGAGCTACATGCATCTATGCAAAGACCAGGAATATTTCTTGAACAGGAGTGTGAGGGCATCTGCAGCGAGGACCCAGGCATGCCTAGCTCTCCCCGCCCTGCC